TCCCCAGCTGGTGAGAAACCCTCCCCCCGCCTTAAAGAGGGAGACTCTGATGGTGCAGCAGTGGGATCCATCGATGTTGCATCTGTCCAGGTTCCAGCTGAACTGCAAGGGCACTCAGCAGCAGCAGTTGCCCCTGTGGAAACTAGGAAGTCTAAGATGAAAACAAGGCACCTAGATAATAAGGGTCAGGAAGGGGACCCCTCACAACCAGCAGGGGAGCCAGAAGTTGAGATCATCACCGAGTCCCTGTCATACGAGAGTCTCCGTAACCTGCGAAAAGACATTGTACGACGGAGCCGTGAGCCTTTTACAGCCTGGTTACCGCGGGTCTGGGACCTTATGGGTACAGGTGTGCAACTGGATGGTACTGAGGCAAGGAATTTGGGAGCCTTGACCCAGGACTCAGGTGTGGACCAGGTATTTGTAAGGGAGACAGGTCTCCTTTCCCTCGGGGAGCGACTTTTAATGAGTGTGAGAGAGAGATTTGTCCACAGGGAAAGAATGCAGGAGCACCACCAGAGAACGCGTTGGAATACCCTTGAGGAAGGGATCCAACAGCTGAGAGAAGTGGCAGTACTGGAGGTGCTCTTTGGGAGGGATGGACAGCATGACAATGACCCTGACAAGGTCAGGTGCACAGGGCAGATGTTGTGGAATCTGGCAAACCTGGGCCCATCTCAATATACCCCCTTTATTGCCATGATTGATGCTGATACCAACCAGGTGACAGTGGGTTCTGTTGCCAACAGGCTCAGGAATTTTGAGAGTATGATGGCTGGCCCAATGCAGGCTCATGTCTATGCTGTGGTTAAGGACCTCAGAGAGGAGTTTAAGGAGGAGATGAAGGACATAAGGGAAGAGGTGAGGAAGATCAGTGCAGCACCAGTGCGAGTCATGGACCCCAAAAGTATAGCCCAATGCCCCCCAGCTAGGGAGAGAGGGTACACCCCACGTGCTGACCTGTTTTTTTCTATGTGACCACGGGGAAGACATGAGAAGGTGGGATGGGAAACCCACTTCTGTCCTGGCAGCACAGGTGCGCCAACTCAGGGAGGGGAACACCAACAGAGGGAACTCCACTAAAGTGAGGGTAGCCTCAGCCTCCCATGACCAAGGTGCAGGGTATTACAGAAGGGAGGATGATCTGTCAGATCCCCTTGAAGGAACCTCCAGTATGTATGCCCAGGAGAGAAATAATAACCAGGGCTAGAGGGGCCCTGCCTCTAGCCAGGGAGAGGCACGGGAAAACCGGATCTTCTGGATGGTGTGGATCCGATGGCCTGGCACATCAGAGCCACAGGAACACAGAGCATTGGTTGACACTGGTTCACAGTGTACATTAACACCATTGGGACATGTCGGGAAGGAACCTGTTTCAATTGCCGGGGTTACGGGGGGATCTCAGGAACTGACTTTGCTGGAGGCTGAGGTGAGCCTGACTGGGAAAGAGTGGCAGAAACATCCAATTGTGACTGGCCCAGAGGCACCATGTGTCCTAGGCATCGACTTCCTCAGGAATGGCTATTACAAAGACCCAAAGGGACTCAGGTAGGCTTTTGGAATAGCTGCTGTAGAGGCAGAGGGCATTAAGCAGTTGAACACCCTGCCTGGGCTATCAGAAAACCCATCTGCAGTGGGACTCCTCAGGGGGAAAGAGCAACAGGTGCCAATTGCTACCTCAACAGTGCACCGCCGGCAGTACCGGACGAATCGAGATGCCGTGATCCCCATACACAAGATGATCTGTGAGCTGGAGAGCCAAGGGGTGGTCAGCAAAACCCACTCACCCTTCAACAGCCCCATCTGGCCTGTGCATAAATCTGAAGGAGAACGGAGATTAACTGTGGACTATCACGCATTGAATGAGGTGACTCCACCGCTGACCACTGCTGTGCCGGACATGCTGGAACTGCAGTACGAGCTGGAGTCCAAGGCAGCCAAGTGGTACACCACCATTGACATCGCCAATGCATTTTTCTCCATTCCTCTGGCAATAGAGTGCAGGCCTCAGTTTGCTTTCACCTGGAGGGGTGTGCAATACACGTGGAAGCGACTGCCCCAGAGGTGGAAACACAGCCCCACCATCTGTCATGGACTGATCCAGGCTACACTGGAGAAGGGTGGAGCTCCAGAACATCTGCAGTACATTGATGACATCATTGTGTGGGGGGACACGACAATGGAGGTATTTCAGAAAGGAGAAAAGATCATTGAGATTCTGCTGGGAGCCGGCTTCACCATTAAAAAGAGCAAAGTCAAAGGGCCTGCCCAAGAGATCCAGTTCCTGGGAGTAAAGTGGCAAGATGGACGGCACCAGATTCCCAATGAGGTCATCAATAAGATCACTGCAATGTCTCCACCAACCAGCAAGAAGGAAACACAATCTTTCCTAGGTGCTATAGACTTTTGGAGAATGCACATTCCTGAGTACAGCCAGATTGTGAGCCCTCTTTACCTGGTCACCTTCAAGAAGAACGATTTCCACTGGGGCCCTGAGCAGCAGGAAGCCTTTGCCCAGATCAAGCAGGAGATCGCTCATGCAGTAGCCCTTGGCCCATTCAGGACAGGACCAGATGTGAAGAACGTGCTCTACTCTGCAGCCGGGAACCAGGGTCTGTCCTGGAGCCTGTGGCAGAAGGTGCCTGGTGAGACACGAGGCCGACCACTGGGATTCTGGAGTCGAAGCTACAGAGGGTCCGAGGCCAACTACACTCCGACGGAGAGGGAGATCTTGGCCGCCCATGAAGGGGTTCAAGCTGCCTCAGAGGTGGTTGGCATGGAAACACAACTCCTCCTGGCACCCCAACTGCCAGTGCTGGGGTGAATGTTTAAAGGAAAGGTTCCCACAACCCACCATGCCACTGACGCCACATGGAGTAAATGGATTGCCCTCATCACACAACGCGCCCGTATTGGAAACCCGAATTGCCCTGGGATTTTGGAGATAATTACCAACTGGCCGGAAGGGGAAGACTTTGGCCTTGCCAACGAAGAGGAACAGGAACAAGTGACCCAGGCCGAAGAAGCCCCACCATATAACCAACTGCCAGCAGATGAAACATGCTATGCTCTTTTCACTGATGGTTCCTGCCGCATTGTGGGGTTGAACTGGAAGTGGAAAGCAGCCGTATGGAGCCCCACATGACAGGTTGCACAAGCTACCGAAGGAGAAGGTGGATCGGGTCAACTTGCTGAATTCAAAGCTGTTCAGCTGGCCCTGGACATTGCTGAAAGAGAGAAGTGGCCAAAACTCTACCTTTACACTGATTCATGGATGGTAGCCAATGCTCTGTGGGGTTGTCTGGAAAGGTGGAAAAAGGCTGACTGGCAACGTAGGGGAGAACCAATCTGGGCTGCCAATGAATGGAAAGACATTGCCACCTGGATAGAGAAGCTGCCTGTTAAAGTCCGTCACGTAGATGCCCATGTCCCCAAGAGTCGGGCTAATGAGGAACACCGACACAATGAGCAGGTAGATCAGGCGGCACAGATAGAGGTGTCAAAGATAGATTTAGACTGGCAGCACAAGGGAGAGTTGTTCCTGGCTCGATGGGCCCATGATGCCTCAGGTCATCAGGGCAGCGATGCCACCTATAAGTGGGCACGAGACCGAGGGGTGGATCTAACCATGGACAGTATTTCTCAAGTTATCCATGACTGTGAGACATATGCTACCATCAAGAAGGCCAAGCAGGTGAAGCCCCTCTGGTATGGGGGGCGATGGTCCAAATATAAGTATGGAGAGGCCTGGCAGATTGACTACATCACACTGCCTCAAACCCGCCAGGGCAAGCACTATGTACTGACCATGGTGGAAGCCACCACTGGATGGTTGGAGACCTACCCTGTGCCTCATGCCACTGCTCGGAACACCATCTTGGGCCTGGAAAAACAAGTCCTTTGGAGGCATGGTACCCCTGAGAGAATTGAGTCAGACAATGGGACTCATTTCAAGAACAGCCTTATAAACACCTGGGCTAGAGAACACGGCATTGAGTGGGTGTACCATATCCCCTACCATGCACCAGCTGCAGGGAAAGTTGAACGGTGCAATGGCCTGCTTAAAACCACCTTGAAGGCACTGGGTGGGGGAACTTTTAAGAACTGGGAGATTAATCTACCAAAGGCCACAGGGTTAGTGAACACCCGAGGTTCCACTAACTGAGCAGGCCCTGCCCAGTCTGAGCCCTTGGGAATATCAGATGGAGATAAGGTTCCAGTGGTACACATGAGAGGTATGCTAGGAAAAACTGTTTGGGTGAATCCTGCCTCCAGCAAAGACAATCCCATCCGTGGAGTTGTATTCACTCAAGGACCGGGCTGCACCTGGTGGGTGATGGAAAAGAATGGAGAGACCAGATGCATACCCCAAGGAGACCTTGTTTTAGGGTGAAATACCTATAGTACTGTGCCTATGTCTCTAACTGCATGTATGTATATATATATGTAACGGTTTAATTTGATATAGCATATTAGTATGGGAGAAATTCAGGGGTGGATAATGTTGGGGGTTGAATGGTTCCCTTTTCTTTCTGTGGAATTTCTCCCATTGTTATGCTAAGTAGTTGTGGCTACACCTTCAAACGATAGATAATGTTCTCTCACAGGGGGGTGGGTGAAGGGGGAGGGGGGGAACCGGAAAAAGGAAAGGTGGGATGGGGGGTCTGGAGCTGGGCTCTCTCTCTCGCTTGGCTCGTGGAGTGGGAGGATGGCCTGGGCTCCGATCTGGCATCTCCCCTGCCATCCCAGCACTGAGATCCACGCTCCCTGCCTTTGGACATCGCTCTGCTGCTCTCCCACCTCACCCTACTATCTCTGGACACTCTGCTGAGCACCACGACCGACACCGTGAGGGGGAGTCACTTTCCCATCCCCTCTCACTCCTGGGCCTCCGCCATCACCCAGCCCTCTTCAACTGCGCGGGACCTGCCCTGCCCCCACAGCACCGGTAACAGCACAGGGAGATGGCCTTGGCCAAAAGGGACTGGAGCTGAGCTAGACTGTTCTGTTCTGTTGTCAATTTTTATAGCTGTAGTTGTTTTCTGCCTTGTTAGATATCAGTAAAGAACTGTTATCCTTATCCCCACATCTCCTGCCTGAAGGCCTCTGATTTAAAACTAAAATAATTAAAAGGGAGGGGGTTGCATTCTGCATCTCAGGAAGGGGGCTCTTGCCTTTCCTTAGATTATACCTGTTTTTCAAACCAAGACAGTAACTTCACTTCTCTGAGACAATCTTGGTATTTTCAAACATGGAAACCCTATTTCCAAAGCAGCCACCTCAAACTGCTTCTGGGCAGGAGGACAGGGAAAATGAACACTGGTAAGGAGCAAGTAAATTAGAGGTACCAGGGACACAATCTACAGACCTGTTGCCTTGAACTCCACCACAGCCTCATCACAATCTGAGCCATGTTGAACAAAACAGGTGTAATTCCCTCTGTCAGAGAGTTGGAGATGGAAAAGTGTCAAGTGTGTGCTGCCCTGGGCAAGGCCATCCTTCAGCAGCTCGGTGTGCCCTCGGTGTTGAAGCATCTGCTCCCCATAGTGGTCCTGGTCCCCCTTGTAGCAATGCACAAAGGGTGAGAACTGCTCCCAAAACCCGGTCACCTCCATGTCCTGTGCATGCTGCTCTGGGGAGAAGCTGCAGGGCAGCACATTCTCACCCCTGGTCATGGTGATGAGGTTGGGGTGTCCCCTCAGGTTGAGCAAAGCTGGCAGGAACACCCAGAGGAAGAAGAGAGCCTTTGGTGAGTTTGCTGTGGCACCTGTCAGGCACAGCAAATGCTGCTCGGTGCTGTTCGTGTGCTGCCAGGCCAGGTGTCTTTGGGTCATTTTATGATGAAACTTTATTCCCTAATCATCTGCTTTATGCCCAGAAATGTCTGTGGTATCTTTAAGATGAACCAGGGGGCAGGGCCAGAGCCTGGAAGTGTTCAATCTCTCTCTCTCTTGTGTTTTTTTGTTTGTTTGTTGTTGTTTTGGGGGGTTTTGTTTTTGTTTTGTTTGGTTGGTTTTGGTTTTTTTCTTCCCCTGGCCTGGAGACTGTTCAGCAGCTTTTTGTTGTTTTTTTTAATTTAAACTATTTGGGTTTGGTTTATTTTCTTTGGCCCGAGGACCCCACAGAGGCAGCCCTGGCCAGTCTGAACCCCAGAAAGACCATGGAAAGAAGGGACATTAAAGTCCACCAACTTTGCCTGCTGTGAGGAGATGACCCATGCCAGAAGGGCAGCTGCCATATTTACCTCTCAGTGGGTTGGGGATGGGGTGTAAGGTTTAATTTTACGGTTTTTTTCCTGTACTTTGCAGGTATCTTGCTTTGTTAATAAACAGTTTTACTTTTTTTTCACTTTCATCCCCTTTCCTCTCATTGGCAGAAGAAAAGGGAGTTACTGAAGCCCTTTCCCTCCAGAGAAAATGCTAACTCTAGGGTGTTTCCTCCTGAAATTTGTCTCCAAAACCAAGACACCAGGTCATTGTGCTGGCAGCATCCCCATGCCAGGGAGAAGAGGTGCTGAGGGGAGATGGGAGAGGCACCCTACCCTGCAGCATGGGCAGTGGGTTGGGGCAAGGCCACCACCCCTCCCTGTCCTTACCTGTGCTGACAAGAGAGTTCTTCAAACCCCTGGTTCTCAAGTGGTGCCCATTCAGCTCAGGGCAGGCAAAAAGCAAGACAAGGAATGATGGAAGTGGCTGGAAGGTTTCTGGGAGGTTGGCTGGAGCAAGTGACAACTTGGCTAAAAATAAAATTCAAATACCCTTATGTCTTCTCATCCTTTACAAAGATCTATTAAAAAAAGTAGAAACGTCTCAGGTACTCTATGCATTTTTGAAAATGCAAAAGAAAAAGGCTTATAATAAACTGGCCACTCAGCTCACTGAGAAAATGGTTCTGGTTGAAGGGAAACAAACGCAAATTAACATTTTTGACAAGATCACTTTTGAGTTAAGTGCTCTGCTGCATCCTTTGCCAGGACTGCCTTGAGGAAGCTGCTTAAGGTCAGCAATACAAAAGAGCACAGGCTAAGTTTGTTCAGAATTTCAATCTGAAATTTTTTCCTTTATTGATCTGGTTTTCCAAAGGGTCCAATACACCCTGGACACAGTGCAATAAACAGGAACGTGCAGGAAACAAGAAAAGCAGGGAGGGAAATGGCAGCAAATTCGAATCAATTCTTTGGCATCATCTAATCCTCACCCACGTTCAGTGAGGTTGTTCCAACACCTGTGCTGCCATGGTCAGAGGGATGCACCACGACCCAGAGGGATGCTGGTGCTCCCAGAAGTGGAAAAGATTTATGGAAAGGGCCTGACCCTGCTCTGAGCTCTGCTGTTCACAGGGAGCTGCTGCACTGACAGCCAGGAAGATATTCAGGCTGGAAGCTGTGCCAGGGAGATCAGCAGGATCCAGGGGATTCCTACCAAGTGCTGCTGCTGAACTTGGAAAACTAAACTGTAAATGACAAAAGCCAGCAGAGAGTAGAGGAGCTGGGAACAGGGGAGCTCCTCTTCACTGGAGTACCACTTGGAGATGAAGAAGGAAAGGGAAAGGGCAAAAGGGAGGAAAACCAAGGGAAGATTAAAAAAAGGAAAGGCACAATTCATTTTTAAAGGCATTCATTGCTGAATCCAGCCCGTTTTTGTAAAGCCTAGTGAAGAACCTCAGATGCCAAAGGTTGAAATTGATTTTCCATCTTCAGCCTGGTGTTGGTTAGTGTTTAATACACAAAGTACCAGACTAGTATAAAAGGTTGTGAGGATTTCCCAGGGGAAAGCAAAGGACAGCCTGATCTGGCTTTTTGATTCAGCATTAAAAAAGAGACTAACAGGTGCAGAATGAGAGCCAGGATTCACACCCAGAGGCAGTGCCAGGGTGGCAGCAAAGCCCAGAAATAGATTAAAAATTGCTTGAAAGCAATTCCCAGCTGAGAGATGAGGCCAAGGAGGATGGCTCCTTTGGGGAAATCTGCTGCCCTGAGAGAGGGAAGGCAGCGCCCGTGGAGCTCAGCCCAGCCAGGTGCAGCACCCTCCCAGCCCAGGAGGCACGGGACACCTGCTGAGGCAAAGGAACCTGGTCAGGGACCTCACCAAAAGTGGTGACAAGGAAAGGAGGGAAGCAAAAAATAAAGGGCGCAGAGACACAGACCTGGACAACTGTCACAGTCTGAAAGACAAGTGCCTGCCAAAGAAGGCAGGAACACCCTCGGAATGGGAAAATGCTAACCCCTTCCCTCCAAATTATTATAACTGTGGAATCAAGGGGGTTCAAAGAAAAGGAGAGAAAGAATATCAGTCCTTTACTAGTATATATATGTGCATAAGACAGACAAACGACAACAGGAGAAGCAACAACAAACAGAAGCACAGACGCAGCCCCAGCCAGAACCACAGACCCAGTGACAGCCAGAACCACAGACCCGGCGAGTCCCAGCTGGAACCACAGATCCGGTCAGTCCCAGCCGGAACCACAGACCCGGTCAGTCCCAGCCTTATCTCGGCCATGGGCACTTTCCCCTTGGTGCAGTTCCGGGCACAGCCGGCAGGGGCGGCGGTGGCTCCCGGCCGGGCGAGTGCGATGATTCCCCCGCGCCTGCAGGGGGCGCTGTGGTGCGAGCTGAGCCGCCTCCACACGGCAATGGCGGGGGGAGAAAGGGAGAGCAGCCGATCCTGCTACCCTCAGAAGAGGATAGCAAAAGAAGCTCCAGCAGGAGCCTCTGAGCAGCAAGCTGGGAAGGCAGGCATGTGCAAAGTGCCGGAGCAGAGAGAAACTGCGCAACTGTAGCAGGAGCCCAGGTGTGTCCCAGCCCGCAGGGGTGCTGGGTTACAGTGTAGTGAAAAACCCGTAGCAGGGGCAGAGAAGCGGAAGGGCTGGGCCGTGGCAGCCTGGCTCCCGAACACCGTGGGGAAAGGATCTCTCAGAGGGGGAGAGGGCTCAGGGATCCTGGGGTTTCCCCTGAGGCACCCGAGTAGATGGTGCGGGTGCTTTGCAGTGAGGTAGGAGAGTTCCCAGTGCAAAGGCCGCTCTCACGAGCAGAGTTTCACTCACGGTAGGAGAAGGCAGCAGGAGACGGCATCCCACAGTGGCTGCGAATTCTCCCACACTGACCGCAGCCTGTCTCACCTCTGATGTCGAAAGCCAGAGAGAGCCAGAGCCAGCCCCGATCTCTCGGTATCTCTGCCCTTCCCAAGGAATGCTCCTCAGTGCCACAGTGCAGCCAGCTGCCTCCTCCCCCTTCTCCTTGGCCATATCTTTTGTGTCTCTTAAGTATCGGTGCTTTTGTCTCTTAGCAACAAATGGGAGAAAATTCCCTGAGAGAAAGAAACAAAAGGGAAAATGCTAACCCCCAACAACAAATGACAGCAGAAAGAAGTGTAATAATCGAACCTCATAACTTAAAGATGGGATCACAATTCCACGGGCATCGCTCCAGGGAAATCCAGCCTGCATAGGTGTGCAAAGCTGGGGATCCAAGCTGAGTGCCCCTGACAGCTGCGTGAGCCAAGGGAAGGATGTGAGTACTAAAGCCTTGTGGAGTGGAAGGAGCTGGGGAGGACCAGGTGTCAGACACGCTAAAAGGGTGCATAAGTCAGTGAGCTTGGCCAAGGCAGCCAAGCTCCAGGCAGGGGCTTCAGGCAGGAAGAGGGTTCACGCGGGTGTCTCCAAAGCCACCTGGCAGCAGCTGCATTTGCATCCTGTTTTATTTGTGCTCAACTGGTGCCTTTCAGAGTGATGTGACAAAGCAGAGTGGAAGGCCTTATGTTCCCTGTGACTGGGAATAAGGCTGTCATCCTTCCACACATGGAGAACTGCCTGGAGAACAGAGAGATGGGATACAAAGCCCAGCAGTGCTGTTCCCCATATACCAGTTAAGCAATCGAGGTAATACATGCCATGCAAACATCTCCACCATGAACCCATGCAGCAGGACGAATCTGGGCAAACAGTCAGGACAGGAGCCAGACCTTGCCTTTTCACAGCCTGGACACCTAGAGCATGGCCACTGCTCTGTGGCTGGTGTCCCCTGGTACCATCCCAAGGGGCTGGAGGTGCCTGTGGTGCCGTGGCCCAGGAGGGCTCTGAGCATCCTGCACAGGGAGATACAGACTCCTCCAGCGCTCAGGGGCTCTTATCACCCACCTGCAGCTGGGCCAAGGGAGGGGAGATGCAGCAGACTCGTGATGGCAACAGGACTGGGCACTGCATGAACAGGAGGAATTGCCAAATTCAAGTGTTGGATGAGGTCCCATATGGGCTGGCAGCTTCAGGGCATGGGAGGTCATTGCCCAGAGGAGGGGAGGGGGAAGCTCAGTCGGGTGGTACCCAGACAGACTCCCAGCCCCTCTGGACTGTGCCCTGCTCACTCAAACAAGCTGGAAGTGCTGGGCAAGCTCAGTCCAGCCATGAGCGAATGAGGGGATCAGAGGAGTGGGGAGCAGACTGAAGATCTTCCAACCTATCCCAAACCTGCTTTCCTGGAGCCAGCCTGAAGGCTAAGCAGGTGAGTACCAGCTGTCTAAAAAGTGCTGAATGTTGTGACCTTTTCATCATTCCTTTTGTGCTTTATCATCTTGAGTCTTGAAATTCCCACTTTAAGCAGTGAATCCTGTATCCCGTCCTGTTGATTGACTGTTGATGTGCTGGCATCCAGGATGGAGAGAGTAGAAAGTGATACCCTCGTGGATGAGGTGGAGGAGATGAGTGGAAGAGGTGAGTTTTCGGAAGGGAAAAGGAGGGAGAACTGTCCTCTGTTGAGAAAATGCATCCTGCTTCTGTGGGACAACTACTGAAGGTCAAAGCACTGGGGCTTGTCCCCAGACTAGGCTTTTCATGGGTTGGGACTTGGTGGCTGCAACACTCCCAGCTGAACTCTTGGTGCTTATCTGTAGACCCAGCTCCAGCACCAAAGGCCTCTGAGCTGACATCCTTGACCCCCTCCATTGCTCATAGAAAGAGAATTTGGGGCCATGGGTTATTGGTCTTGGGGTAATGTCAACTGTGGTCAGCACAGGTTTGTGGCCTGACCTGCCTGTTCTCCTCTCGCAGCACCAGAGACACCCAGGCTCAGGCCAGGCAGCTGCACTGCAGATGTGCACCCACCCACTCAGGTGCCTCCTCCTCCAGGAAACTGAGGCCTCCTTGACCAGGATGTGTGCAGGCCCCTGGGGCAGGGACAGGATTGGGGCAGCAGGGAGCCAGGGACAGTCCAGCTCAGGGGGTTTTCCCACTGTAGGGAAAAGGAACTCACCCTGTCCCTTCTCTTGCTGGGGTGGATGCAACCCTGGGGCTGCCCGTTCTGAGCAGCTTCTCCTCCTCTGTCCTCAGCCAATGTGACTCTGGACCCAGACACCGCCAACCCCTTCCTCATTCTGGCCAGTGACCAGCGAGGAGTGGGACGGGGGTACGAGTGGACCTTGCTGCCCAACAACCCCGAGCGGTTTGACACGGAGCCATGTGTGCTGGGCAGCCAGGGCTTTGCTGTGGGGAGACACTGCTGGGAGGTGGAGGTGGCCGAGGCAGGGGACTGGTGGGCTGTGGGAGTGGCCCAGGAGTCTGTCAGGAGGAAGGGAGTCCTCAATTTTACGCCCCAGGAGGGGATCTGGGCCGTGGGGCAGTGGTTTGGACAGTACCATGCTTTCAGTGATCCTGACTGGATCCCCCTGCACCTTACCTGCCTCCCCAGGGCCATCCAGATCTGCCTGGACTTCACAGACAAGCAGGTGACTTTTGCTGATGCTGAAAGTAAAGCCCCAATCTTTGCTTTCTGCCTGGACTTGTGTGCTGGGGAGAGGCTGCACCCATGGCTCTGGGTGGGGATGGACTCGTGGCTCAAGCTGTGCCCCTGACAGGGAGGGAACATGGGGGGGCAGGGGAGAGTCTGGAAAGGCAAATGCCATCACTTTGGGTCTTGGTGCTGGGAACTGGGAGGGTCCTGCATCCTGTTGGCTTCTCCTCACATGGATCCCCTGGCCACCAAGGGGAGGACTGGCAGCTCATGGAGGTGGACACCACAACAGAGCCTCCTTCATCTCCCCACCCCTCAGGTGGGACTGCAGGGGGCACAGGGAGCACAGAGACTTGGTGCAGGGAGGGGCTTGGTTCCCGGTGGTCCCATGGCAGGAACCACCACTGAGTGCCAGGCACTGCAGAGCTGCTCTGTACGGAGCCATGGAAAATATAGCAGGGTCCACCTCCTCCAAGGGTGCTGGAGTAGTGCCTCTGGCTTTTTTCAAGTAAGTTAAAAAAACCCAAACATAGCTGGATACTCATGATAACACTTATCTTCCCCACACATCCAGAGCCTCTCCTTGCCTGATGTGCACCAAGGACATTTCTTGCAGCAGAGCACTGGTAGCAGTGCAGGGGCAGCAGTAGGGGCAGCCCAGGAAGGAAAGCACAATGCTGAGCTGTGTCTGAAATCCACAGGAGAGGCAGTTCCCACAGATCCGTCATTCTCTGATCTCACCCCATCAAGATCCCACTTCACAGGATCCTGCTAAATCCTGTCCTTAGGAGAGAAGGTGGATGTAGGTGAAGAGGGACATTGCCTGGATCCAGCCTAGATTTCATCTCCTAACACTTTTCTGGTTGGACCTTCTTTAGTGCCGCCTCAGTTGTCATTGTTGTGATGGCATCTGGGCACAGGCAACAGTATTGGTCTCCCTGCTCTACCCCAGGAGCTGCAAAGAGTTGCAGCGCTGGGTAAAGCCCAGGTATCTGCCCCCAGAGCTCTGCCCTAAGGCTCTTCTGCTGCGGCAGCACCAAGACTGGGGAAACCCAGGGATCTCTGCTCCCAGTGAGGCACTTCCTACTCTCCATGGGCAGGAGCCTCTGAGACTGTCCTGGTTTTGGTTGGGGTAGAGTTAACTTTCCTCTCAGTAGCCAGCACAGTGCTGGGTTTGGGATTTAGGGTGAGAATAATATTGATAGCAACAACCAAACCAAATCAGTCATGGGGTGTTTACCCAAGCCAAGGACTTCTCAGTGTCTCATGCTGTGCCAGCGAGGAGCTGCACAAGAAGCTGGGGGCAGCACAGCCAGGACAGCTGACCTGAACTGGCCAGGGGGATATTCCACACCAACAGAACGTCCTGCCCAGTGTGTAAACTGGGGGAGCTGCCCGGGAGGGGCCAATCACTGCTGGAGGACAGGCTGGGCACAGATGAGTGAGTGGTGAGCAACTGTATTGGGCAACACTTGTTCCATCTGGGGTTTGTATTTGTTTTTTATTACAATTATTATTACCATTAGTATTATTACATATTACTTTGTCTCAATTATTAAACTGCTTTTACCTCAAATCGTTTTTTTCCCCCATGCCCCTTGGAGTGTGGTGTGTGACTGAGTGGCTGTGCAGTGTTTAGTTGTCAGCTGTGGTTACACCATGACAGAGGTTCACAGCAGAAGGTTGGTGTATGGAGATGGCAGATTGTTAGTTCTGTATTTTTGTCCTTTGTCATGCAAAACACTCTGAAAGAGTTGAGATGTGCAGTTAGGGATACCTACCTCAATCAAGAAGAAGAAATTTCTTTCTGAAAGACAGTTCAGTCCCTCAGACTGGAGAAAAGTTGGGTTTTTTAACAGACTGCTGTCTGGAAAGCTCTTCACTGGAATGTTATGGTTTGGAGGGGGTAAATGTGCTTTGGTTTCCTTTTTGATGTGCCCCACAAAAATTACATTAAAAAAATCAGCTTTCTGGGAGCTGAGTTGCATAGTTGCAGCATTTGTGTGAGAAATACACAATTTCATGTAGAATTGCACCACAAAGACTTGAGGGACTTTAAATTCAGCTCTCATGTGCTAGAGATGTCTGCATGCTGGAGCCACAACGGATAGGAAGGCTTAAGGAACACCAGGGTCCTTGAGCAAGGCCGGACCCACATGGGCTCTGAGTGGTTTTGGAGAAACAACTGGGGCCAGGAGGTTTGTCCCAAACCCAGCGTGGACACAGGCAGCACATCATGGCAGTGACTGCTGCCTCCTCAACCAGTGCCTGGACATGGAGGCCACAGGGCAACTCCCAAGCTCCCAGAGCCTGCTCCCAGGGAAAAAGGCTGCAGCAGTGGGCAGCAGAGGCACCTCAATGAACATGCTCTTCTCAGCATTGGTCTGTCAGACATGCTCCAAACAAAGCCTGCCTGGATTTGGCACATCAGTCAAGCAACTGTGACTGAACACCCTTCCCATGAAACTGTGTTTTCCCATGGAAACTCCTTTTCCACAGCGAGATCTTTCTCTGGGACTTCTGCTCCTTTTACACTGTTCTCCCTGTTGCAGATGCTGCCTTTTTCCCCCCCACTCTGTCAGATTGCTGTGTATCATAGTGTTATTTTAAAGGACTGGCTGAGCCAACCCTGGCACTCTCTTTTTAAACCCTTTTTTTCTTTTAATATAAACAATATTAACCAGAAAACCCTTGATTTGACAGCTTGGTCAGGAAATTCATCCAAGGTCTTACTTAAGGCTAAAGCCTTATCCAGGCCTTCGGAAATGCATCCAACATTGGTGTTGCAGTGCTTTGAGTAGCACTTTAAATGGGTAGCTTCACAATTTCCACCCCCCTGCTGCAAGTGTGGCGTGACCATATTTACAACACAGATCCAGGGCCAGGGGCCAACGCTGCAGGCAATGTTAGGCCTCCTCACTGCCCCACAGAACAGGGAATGATGGCTGCCCAAGTCTCTGCCCACCAGCCCTGCCATGGTGCTGGCCCTGGATGACTCTCAGAGCCAGCTGGTAGCGAGCACTCAGAGCAAGGCTTCTGCCCTGCAGCGAGCTTCCAGCAGCTCTTGCACACCTGGGCACAGCTCAGACACAGCCTGGACACAGCACAAATACAGACACAGCTCAGACACACCTGAGACACACCTGAGCACAGCTCTGACACAGCTCTGACACACTTGAGCACAGCTCTTACACAGTTCTGGCAGTGGGATACACCTCAGACACTACTGGACACAGCTGGACACAGCCCATCATGACCCAGCACCCAGCAGGGCTTAGGTGAGAGCACAGGCTTGCAGACGTGTCTGGTGTCTCCCACAGCCCTGGAGCGAGGGGCTGGGCTGGAGGGCCGTGGGCAGGCCCGGGTCAGGCAACTCATCAGGACCCTCTGTGGGGTGGCATCATGGCAGCACCAGGGTCGCTCCATCCAGCCCCATACACACCCCTGGCCCAGCCAGAGGCCAAAGGACTCCTGACTTGGCCCAAACATCATTGCCTTGCTTGGCCCACACCAGGCACGCTTCTGTACACTGACAGAGACAGTGTCCAGAAATGACAAAAGCCCTGGGTTTTGTCCAACTTTGAAACCCTCTGCTGGGGCCCTGGGGTCTGGCCAGGTCACAGCTGCCCCGGGCAGGCAGTACTGGGGTGCTCTCAGGGAGACAGCTTGGGCTCTGCAGCCCTGGCCCCCTCCAATAACAACACAACAGCCCAAAGTTTGTCTCACTTTTATTTACATCATTGCACAGCCCGTTTCCCCAGAATGCACCGGAATGTGGTGGGTCAGATACCAATTGCCCACATCCACGAGCTGAACAACTCTGGGAAGGAGGACAAGACTCAGAGAGTCACTGTTGGGTCTTGCAGGGGCACATGCAACAACTCCAATTATTGGCAATGACAATAAAGCCACGGATGCTGAGTGCAGCCACAGCCACACAGCAGCACAGGGCCGGGCCCCCACTGCCCCAGCCAGAGGCTTCTGGCTTTCACAGTTGCATATTTGGATTGACAGTGGGTTTCTTAACTGGAACACTGGCTCCATGAAGTCCTTATCCTGGGGACGTGCTGTGGGAGAGAGCATCCCTCGTCACCTGCCAGAACTCGGTGCACTGCAGGGCCAAGCTCCTGGGAGGCAGCCAGGGCTGGGAAGGTTAAACCACCTCCCCCATTTTTCTTCACTGATGATGTCCTGGTGACAAGGGGGTTGTTGGGAAGGGGCTGAAGGAAGGGGCACCCAGGACAAGGCACAGAGCAGTCAGTGGTGGAGAGCCTGCTGCCATGGAAAGGGTGTGCAGAGCGGGGAGTGCCTGCATGGGAATGGGATGGGACGGGAGCAGGGACTGCAGCAGCCTCTCCACCAAGAGTACCAGGAGCAGAGTAATCCCTGCATGAGTGCATGACTGAGAAAAGGGCAGACACTCAAAGGTATGTGGAAGAAGGGAAGGGACAGTCGGGGGGCTGGCCAAGAGAGGGGAGCAGAGAGAGATGTGCAGCCTGGGTGTAGCAGAGGACATTCACCCCTCGGTCACACCAGCCCCTCAGGCTTGGAAGAGAGACCAATTCACAGCAGACCTCAGGGCACAGAGAGGCTGCTGCAAGATGTGTTGGAGTATCCCCAAGCTGCACCAGAACCCTGGGAGACAGAGGAGAGCAGATAGAGACCAGGGCCCAGGGCCGAAGAAATCCTGTAGGGCGTGATGGCACACTGGTCCCTGCTACTTGGGCCACCAGCAACTTCCAGCTCAGGGTGAAGGAACACATAAGGAAACACATCCTGCTTTGCAGCTAGAGAGGAGGAGGAAGTGCACATAGTGCTCTGAATTCAGGAAATTACAGATCTCCATCTCGCAGGGCACTGCACTGATGCACTTGCTTTCAGCAAAGGGGCAGAGAGACATAGTACATGACCACCATCATCACCCACTGCAAGGACACAGACTCCTCAGAGCCTGCCTCCTGCCTGCTCTCTACACTCACCACCATGGAGCCAGAGCACACACACCTCTGGAGGACCTGGCAAGGCAGCATCACCAGCAGCGTCCTCACAGCCTGTGCCACTCAGGAGGCTCAGGAAAGCTCAGCACCAGGCACAGGCACTGTCTGGCAGGGTGAGGAGGTGGCAGAGGCAAGGACCAAAGCCAAATCAGAGGGACTCTTGGCAGAGGAGGCACTCCGAAACAGAGGGCTGGGAGAGCTGCATGTGCTGGAAATGCAGGTGAAAGGAGGAGGAAAAGGAGGAACATCAGGCCCACAGGACAAGGGATCCAGAGCCTGCTTTCTGGGAACCAGCAAACTGAGGAGGTTTCACTAGAGGACACAACAGGCAGGTGGCATTACCAGGGATGAACCCAATCCCAGCAGCTCCTCTGGAATGTGCAAGTGAAGCACAGAGACAGCCAAGAGCACCTACCAGCACCGCAGGGCATGGCTTGTCCCCTAAGGTACGAGTGAAACTGATGCTACAGGAGGTCCAGCCTCAAGGTGGCGAAAGGACATCAGCAAACAGAGACTCCAACTCCCACCTTCTGGGGTCAGGAAAGCTCCTTTCTCAATCTTTTCAGAGCAAAAGGCAATGGATTTAGCTAGTATGGAGCCATATCTCCCCATCCTTGGATCCTCCATCTACCTTTGCCAGACAGACCAAGGGCTGAGTGCATCCGAGTCCTGGGCATGAGCCAGGATCTCAAGGAAAGAATTTAGTGAGATCATGTCTGCACCAGAAAAGATTCTCTCATTCTGAAACTGATTTTGAAATTCTCAAAATTACAGTACTTTACAATACAAAATGTCTCCATTCGGTATTATGTCATTTTACTCCTTCTGGGATTATAATAATTATTAAAATCACTCAACTTTCTAGAAAGGACAGAACACCACAAAAAAGACCAAAGAGTAACGGAAAGGCTGCTGCAGTATATCAAAACCAATTTAGTGCAAAGAAGAAGGGGACTTTCAAGAACGGTTGATGAAAAGTGTTCTTCATATGCTCATTTGGAGAAAAGGCATTGATTTAACCTCTGAATGAGATCAGGTTGCCAGCTTCTATCCTGAAGCTTAGAACATCAGCACAAAAGGATTGAAACACAATATGCATGGCCATTAAAAAATAATATTATATATAGATATATATATATATATATATATAGAGGGAGATGTTTTCCACGTACGGTATTCATTATAGGAAAGTGTCCCTGCAGACAGGCATTTTCTGCCATCAGGCTCTTTTGGGCCATTTCAAACACAGATGTTGATTATGTGTCTCTTTGCCAAGATCTAAAGCACGTGCGGAGCACACAGTCCCTTTGGGTGGATGACTGTTCTCCAGTGCCCTCACAGCTGCCTCGTTCCCTGGGCCTTTGGGGACACCTGACCCTCCACCCTGGCTGCCACAGGACAGCTCACACGGTGGTCTCATCCGCTGTCTTCTTCATGAGCTTGGCAGAGAGGAGGGAGTGGGGCACGGGGTGAGGGCTCCGCGAGGCCGGGATCATCAGGCGAACTTTCTGGTTGGTCCTTCGCCACTCCGAGTACAGCTGGCAGTGGTAGCGGAACGAGACCTGGCGGGCGAGAAGGCAGCGCTCTGTCACCAGCCCTGCCACTCGTGCCACAGCACACGCAGGGACAGCCCAATGCCAGCACCCCTCTGCCTCTGGGGACCCTCATCCTGGGAAAAGGGAGACAGCACTGACCGAGGCACGGCTTGGGGCACTCCATGTCCCCAGCCTCTGACAAGCCATCAATCCCTTCCTGGGGACACAGCCAAAGGGGCCTTCTGGGCAGCACTAGCAGAGTGAATGGGGTTTGCTCAGCTGGGTTTGGGTCCGGGCTGGTGAAATGTGGTGGGGATGAGCTACAACCTGCCTCTTCCTCCAGCCCCAAGCTGCAGCCAGCACCTTGGGTGAGCAAAACAAGGGTCTGAATCCAACCAGCTTTCTCCCATCTCAGACATCCCAGGTGACTTTCTTCATCCTGCACAAAAACCTTCCCTTCTTTGTCTGCAACAACAGGACAGCAGCTGGACTCGTGTTTTCCTGACAACAACGTGGCCCGGGAGACGTGTCCACCCGGAGGGAGAACAGGGGAGGATGTAAAGGCTGGAGGGACCCGGAGCAGCCCAGCAAAGGCAGGAGGTGGTCCTGCAGTTTCAGAGCAGCCCTGCGAGGGGAGCTTCGAGCTCGACTTAAATACCAAATCCACTGATCTAAACCAGGCTTTCTTACTGGAAGCATTTAGCTGGCAACTAGGATGCACCAGGAAGTGCATCTGACACAGAAAACTCAGTAAAACCATTACTTCTGGATGG